AGGTCAGCCAGCGGCCTTGGAGACTGCTGAGGTTAGCGCCTCTGTACAGCGTCATTCGCCTGGTTCTGGTTCCCAGCCACGGGCTAACGCAATGTAGGCGGGAAGCCCCCACCCCCCGGGACCCCGCACTCTTAGGGCCCTCACTGCCTTGGAGAAGAGACCTTCCTTTTGAGTTCGTTTCTCCTTTTTAACCGAAACCAGGCCGCTTCCAGGAACACAGTGCACCCCACAGCCCTGCCTCACACACAGGAAGGGTCTCCTGGCGCCTTCTTTCTCCGAGCACGGGCACACTGTCCTCAGGCCAGGGGCATCTACGCAGCCTGTGCGTTTCCAGGCTTTGTGTGTGCTTCCCAGCTCTGAGTTATGGCTACTGGGCTGACATTTCTTTTGACATTTGCAAACTGCTAGGCGGCAGAGAAACTTAATGTTTCCTGTGCATCACAAGCCGAGCTAAGTTCCTTTAGGAGCAGAAGGGGGAAGGACTGCACTTCTAGGTCCCCAGCTGTGGGCATCGCCGTGTAGAAGCCCAGGGGACTGGGCATTGGGACTTCAGTGTGGCACTTTGAGTTTTATGGGGACAGCAGTTCCCTGACCGCACCGTGCAGCTGGCCTGGGCTGTCAGCTCTGCTGGCCCCGCGCGTCTTCTGAGCATGTGGCCAGCTCAGACTCTGAGTGGTCATCTGGAGGAGGGAGGCTGGAGAGGGTGGTGACCGGGAAGGGGTCAAGAGTGGCTTCGCCATTTGCTGGCTGTGTGACCCACACCCCTCTTAGGCCCTCTTGGGGTCTGATTTCTTGCCTGTTGTGTGGGGAGTTTTACTGGGTTGCCTTAAAAGCCGAGTGAGCTTGTGATCTGGATGTCGGGTGCAGTTCCCAGGGGCTTTGACAAGCTGGTGCTGGGGTCCTAGGGAGAAAGTCACGGCCAAGTCAGTGTTTAGAGCGCCTGTTCCAATCTCCCTGTAACAGGAGCTCCGGGTACTTCTATGTACTGTGCAGCCACAGGGCTGTAGAAGGCTTTCTGGTGAAGTGGGGTGCTCTGGGGGGTTCTTGGGCTTAGCCCTGTCCCTGCCATCTGGCCTGGCCCACCTGGGGTTGGCCAGGTGTCAGGCCTGGTCCCGGCAGGGGTTGGGCTGCTTCCAGATCTGTTTTCATTTTCAATTCCCTTTATTGCTAAACCACCTCAGGGCCACAGAGAACAAACTGTTGTCCTCAGCTGACCTCAGATTCCTGGCCTCAATTGTTTGCCCGTTTGCTAATTTTAGCTTCTGATCATTTCCACCCTTATCCTCCCCCCCAAAGGGAGACACAGACCAAGAATAGCTGCCTGGGAGGGGGGCTGTGGTGGCTGTGGCCAGAGTTCCCACAGCGCCCTGGCAGGGCGTGTAGGGCAGGCAGCTCCCTGCAGGCAGGCCGGGGAGCTGGGCGCGGCCTGTGCAGGCAGAACCCCTCCCCAGGACCCTGTACTCCTCAGGCCCGCACGTGCCTTAGAGGAGAGGACTCCTTTTGGAGTTTGTCTCTCCTTTTAAACAGAAACCCAAACTGCTTCCAGGAAAATAGTACAGCCCTGCCCTGCGCACAGACCCCTGGGAGTCCCTGGCTCCACCAAGCCACCCAGACTCCAGATACCCAGTCGTAGTCTAGGGTCAGATGTGGCACTGGGCAGCAGCCAGGCCCAGGAGGCTTCTTAGCCTGAGGACCCAGGCATATCTAGTGCCTGCCCATTGTGGCCTTGGAGCCAGCCCTGCTCTGTCTTTCCAGATGTGGGAGCAGTGGTAGCCCAAGATATCAGGCTCCAGCTACAGGATGGGACCCACCCTGGGAGGGCGGGCAGAGGAGCAGCTGACCCAGCCCCAGACCACAGGGAGCAGGCCTTGCGAGAGAAGAGATAGTGAAATCCCGTGGCCCCTAGGCTGGGCCTCCTGCCTGCAGTTGCAGTCTATGTCCTGCATAGTAATTTTAAATTTTTAAAGTTTTTTACGTGATGCTATATACCGAACTTAGAGCCTTCACACTGAGCTGTGCCCCAAGACATTTCAAGTGTTATTTAATTTTTGAGACAGGATCTTGCTGAATTGCCTAAGCTGGACTTAAATTTACAACCCCCTGCCCCCGCCTCAGCCCCCTAGAATGCTGGGATTATATGCTGTGCCGCCAGGCCTGGCTTGTTTTTAAACTGTTACTGTACAGAACATCTTACAGACCTCACAGCTGAGAGGAACACCCACATCCTCAACATCCCCTTACCTCTCCTGCTATCACATCTTTGCCCTCCCTTCAGCGTCACCACCTCCCCCTCTCAATTGTTTTGAAAGGAATCTGCACACTGTCATTTTATTCCTAAATATGTCAGTGCCACTCGTTTTTAAGTGTGAAGGCCTCTCACCTGGAAGTTGGAGCCACCACTGAAAGACTGGGGCTGGTGGCGGAGCTCAGAGGTGGAGTGTGCTTTGCCCATGTGAGCCCTGGAGGTCCATCTGGGTGATCCCCCCAAAAAGATGTGTCCCATTTCTGTGTCCCTCAGCCTCAAGTTATAACTACAGTACTTTTAAGTAAAAAGGCAACCTAGAAACAGCCCTAAGCGTTGAGCTATCTGGACTTACATTTCTAAAATCAAAAGCAGCAGCAACCAAAACCAATCAAAAGTTTTGTAAAGGTGACACAGGTAGGTGAAGAAGCAGCCCTGCTGCCCTGTAAGTTTTTCCTTCGGGTGGATCCTCACCTCCCAGGAACAGGTGGACAGGTGTTACCTCCATACCCCTGTGGGGACAGCAGGATCAGCTCCCTCCCACAGTGTCAGAAGAGGGCTAACTAGAAAAGAGTCATTCTCTAGGGCAAGACTGGGCTGCTAGAATGTCACACCCATCCTGTTTTATAAATTATTTTTAGGGGCTGGGGATGTGGCTAGGTGGTGGAGTTCTTGCCTCGCATGCACAAGGCCCTGGGTTTGATCCCCAGCACCACACACAAAAGTAATTGAATAATAAAAAATTATTTATAAAATGTTGGGAGAATGGCCGGGGTGGTCGTAAGCATAGCTGTTCCGCACATTTTAATTACAACAGGCGTGCCCCTTGCTGGTGCCCCACCCCTCCTGCCCTTCTGGAGGCAGCGCACCAGCTTGTGGCCACCACTTGGGGTATTTACCTTCCTGTTGCTCAGTGTCTTGCTCCTGGGGCCTTCAACTTTAGGTGTTATCTCTTGACTTCCCAAGATGGCAGATAAGGATGTGGCTGCCTGTCACCCGCACCTCCTGTGATAATGGAATCCTTAGGCTTAGGCCAGAGTTCAGGATTTCCAAGATGATAACTAAATGATAGCTGCAGAGATCCATGCATTATGCACATGTGTTTTGCTTGTTTTTCTTGGTGCTATTGCCACTGACTTGTCCCTACACCTTCCTGGCCCACGCAGCCTGGCAACATGGTCACCCGGGGCTTGGCTGTAGTTCTGGGACCCCTCTGCAACACCCAGGCCCCTTTCCTTCTGCATCTTGGTGAGGTGCCCCCCTCCTTCACAGCTTCCCCGAAGGAAGGGGTGCAAGGGAGGCAATGTTTAGAGACCTACGTGTAGGGAAGTGGCACTGTTCTAGTGTCACCCTTGGCTCGTGCTTGGCCAGGTGTCAGGTCGCGGGCTGGGCAGTTTTCTGCAGAGGCTTTGAAGGCCGGGCTGTACCTCTCCACCCCCCGATGTGGGGAAGGCTGGGGCCCTCCTCATTCCTCACCGTCTGCGCCTGCCGTGCTCTGTTCCCTTTGGGAATTCTCTTGTGGGCGCCTTTATCCCAGGGGCCAAGGTGGAAATGCACGTGGAGGTGCCGGGGTGTGCTGCTTTCCCTGCTCTCATCCTTTTGTTTTTGTTTTTATTTCATTCTATTTTGTTGTTATCTGAAGTTTTCTCAAACTTCTCTAACCTTGCCACTGGGGTTTTCCTTTCTTGCCCTGTTTCCCCCTATTGTCTTCACTTTCCCGCCCAGGCAGGGCAGGCAGCCCTCGGGAGGGTAGGGACCTTGTGAGTACACAGGCTTACTATCTGATGTTCGGGGTCTCCCTCCTCTGCCCTCGCTGCACCCCACCACCACTGCCAGAGGCTGCTGAGCCCGTGAGGGGGACACGCTGCAAGGATAGAAGGGCTCAGTTTTTACTTTCTCTGCTGTCTTTCTGCTTTCTGGCTTCCACGTTATTGTCCCCCTTCCCTTTGGCTCTGTCTGTTAACCTTTCCCTCTTATGTTAATGGGACGGGTGAGTGCTCCTCCACCTTTATCCAGAGTTCCTGTTTGGCTTTAGGTTCGGCGTGGGAGGTCCAGGCAGGGATGAGAGGGGAAGATAAGAACCAGACAGGGTGAGTACAGAGAGGCCTGCTCCCTTGTCAGCAGTCACCGTCCTTTTGTGCATGTGTGGTGGCGTTTTCAGGAACTGACCCGAATTACACCCAGGAGACTTTCTGGAAGACACTGCAGGCAGCGCAGAAGGGGACAGTCGTGCAGGGAAAGCAGAGGGCCAGACCTGGAGTTCCAGCTTCCTTGTCTTCAGTTGCAGGTCCTGATGTGGATAGTCAGGGACAAGTGTAGCAGTCCAGGAGGCCACCAGAGACCCAAGCTCTTTCTGTCTTTTTTTTTTTTGGTACCAGAAATTGAACTCAGGACCTCATGCTTGCCAAGCAGGCACTGTGCCACTGAGCTATAGTGCAGCCCCCATTTTCTTTCTTTAGTACTGTTGATGTGCAGATGTAGCCATTGTTAACCCCTGGTGGCACCTGTTCCCACAACATCAGAACATGATCCAGACAGGAAGAATGGGAAGAGTGAAGGGAGTGTCGCCCTCTTTGTCAGGGAAAGGCACTTAGTACTTCTGCAGAATTTGTTGGGGAGAACTGGTTTACAGGCTCAATCCTAGCTGCAGGGGGTTGGGAAGGAAGCACTGTACCTGAGCAGCGCAGCTGCAAACTGAGATCACTTTCTTTGGATAAACAAGACAGACAGGGGGGCTGCTGGGACAGTAGAGGCTTACCTGCAGCAGCGGCGTTGCGGGGTGGCTGAGTGCTCTTGTCTTCACAGTGGGAACCACTGCTTAGGGAAGTATGCATCCGGCACAAGTGACTGCCCTGTGATGTTCCCAAGGCGTTTGGGGAACCTCAGAAATTGCTTTCTCTAGCATTGATTTTTTCTTTATCCGTGGGGTCTGTGTGAGCCATTGACACTCTCTGAGCATTATTGGTTTGTGGCTCAGAAGTAAGGCCACGTGTCCATCGTCGTGATCACAGAAGGTGAGCAGAACAGGTTGTCCGTCATTCGTCATCTCTACACTGTAGCTCGCACGTCTCCTTGGCCTCCTCTTGGCTTCTCAGACTTTTCTCTTGCCCCTGACCTTGGGAGTTTGGAAGAGTACTGGGCAAGTATTTTGTAGACTGCCCCTCAATTTGCAGTTGTCTGGTGGTTTTCTCATGATTGGACTGGATTTGTGGCTTTTTGGAGAAAACACTAAAGAGGTGCGGTGCCTTCTCATTGCTTCCTCTCTGTGGAGGAGTGAGATCCACATGACTTACACTGTTATTTATGTTGCTCAGATGTCCCAGGCTTGGCCAGGAACTCCCTCAGGCCAGCTCCTGTGTCCCTTTGACATGCCCCTGTCATTTTGGGGTTTTTTGTCTATTTCTTGACTATCTTGGTGTTACAAGACACTCAAGCCTCTACTTGGATTTTTCCTGGCCAAGCTCTGGAATCAGCTATGCTCCAAGGAATGCTGTTTCCTTTCACTAGAGAATGGTGTTAGCAGCCACAAGCTGAGCGCAGAGTGTGCTGCTTGCATTAGGATGTCACTGCTTCTAGTCCCCCTTGGAGCTAGGAAACTTGGTGCTCTCTCCTGTTCATGCAGCGTGTGCCTTCCGTGACTTCTCCCTCTCCACCTGCATGCTGAACTAAGCATGAATCCACTCTGAGATCAGACGGGCTCAGCCCACAGGCACGTCCTCACCTCCCCCAGCGGACCTGTCCCCCCTGCACACCCCCGACAGTGAGACGCCCGCTCTCAGCACCCAGAGTGCCCGCACATGTTTTTTCAGCCCCGGCACACGTGAGGTGGTGCCTGCCCTCATGTAAAGTGAACTTGCTCACTGGAGTGCAGTTCCTTTTGCTGTACTTTTAGAGTTTCCCATCAAAATGCTGTTTCCCTAGCTGCTCTTCCCACCCCTGCCCAGAGACCATGTGACTTGTCTGTGTACAGTGAGAGTCTTTTGTCACTGTCTGAGTTCCATCCTGGGATCCCCCAACTTCCTGGATGACTTTAAAAAAATTTTTTATAGAGTAAAAGTACATTATTTGTGATGTACAGTTTCAAGAGTTCTTTTGCTCTCTTTTCTTTTTTGTGGTGTGCAAACCGAGGGCTAAGTAAGCACTCTACCACCGAGCCGTATCCCCCTGGCCCTAACTTTTTTTCCTTCTTAAGACAGCTCAGACTCGTCTTGACCTCTTGGGTTCACAAGATCTTGCTGCTTTTACCCCTGAGTAGCTGGGCTTAGAGGTGCAAGCCACTGTGCCTGGCCAGATGTAAGAGTTTTTACAAATGCAGTCTTCTACCTCCTGCTCCAGTACCAGACAGAACAGCTCAGTCACACTAGAAACGGCCCTGTACATCCCCTTTATCAGCCCCTAATCTCGCTACCCTCTCGCGTATTTCCTGTCCCTGCGGATTTGGCTTTTGCAGAATGCCTTATGAATGGAGTCAGGCAGCCTGTACTTGTTTGGGTGTGGCTTCTTCCACTGTACATTTAACATATTCACAACGGGGCTGTAATTCATATGTCTTGCTAGCCGGCAGCTTGAACCACCAGTGACGTATACATGACTGTTCCATTGGGCAGCTTTTTATGAATTTTGTTAGTAAAAAGAAGAATAAAAGTGAGTAGATCCCTTTGTACCACCAGCGATGAAACATACACACACATACGTGCACACACACACACATGCATGCGTGCATTCCAGAGCCCTTGTCTGTGGTAACATCTCATCTTCAGGCAGAAATCATAGGTATTTTGTTAGGGCTGTTGTTTTTTTTGTGTTTTGTCTTTTTGAGACAGGGTCTCACTATGCAGTTCAGGCTGGCCTGGAGCTCACTTTGCAGCCTAGGCTGGTCTCAAATTCACAGTGAGATCCTCCTGCCTCATCCTCCTGAGTGCTGGGATTACAGGCGTGCACCACCATGCACAGCTGTTAGTGCTGTTTTAAAGGGGGCCTTAGAAATGGAAATGTTCAAATGTGTTTTGTAACCCTTAGTAGAAGGGAAAACACCTTTATAAAATTCCTGGCATGTGGTCCTTTTGACCTTTCCAGACGAGTGTACCAGTGCATGCAAATCAGTGCTACTTCTTTATCAAAGGTCAGGGGTGTGGGATTCCATGGAAGTGTCCCAGTTGTGAACTAGGGGTTGGGTCCCATGTGTGTGACCCAACTATGTCATATCATATTATTACATTTTTTCTTATTGTCCAGAGCAGTTCAGCTGAAAGCTATAGGAGTGCCAGAAGAGACAGTCACATACTGCTGTGTCTCCTTTCCGCTCTGCACTCTGTAGTGCATGCATTCCCTGCATGCATGTGAGCAGCAGGGCTCGGCCACTTGGTAGTCCGTTTGCTTTGCTGTCCAACTGAATGAAACTGGCTGTGAGTGGCCTCCGTCTGTGGCTTATGAGAGCACGGTGGCATTAGAGACGGCCAGGCAGGCTGCATGGACTTACTCTCTCCTTGTCCACCCTGCCCCTCAACAGAGGCAGCCCGGTTCCAGGAACCTTGGAGGGACACCAGAGAGCACCAGCCCCTCCTCCCATGCTGCAGGGTCCTGCAGGTGCAGGACAGGGCACAGGACAGGGTTCCTGTCCGGGCAGTGGTCCCAGCCTTCACCAGCCCCCTCGGCATCAGCAGACCCAGATAGCCACGGGTCTTGAGGTGTCCTGCAAAGCTGTGGAAGAGGTCGCTCCTGCTTTGGGCTTCTGGGAACTCAAGGAGGGGCATGCAGAGTGCTGCAGCCAGCTTTCCTTCCTGGATGGTGTCTCTAGGGTCATCGCCCTTAGGGTCTTGCTCCAGGCAAGGACAGCGAAGGGCAGAGGAAACAGGGTGGAGGGCCATGCAGGATGCAAGGAGGAAGGGATGGTGTCGACAGCCTGGGGTGGCCATGAGCAGGCCTGGGACAGGGCTGGGCTGGGCTTCATCTCCCAGGAGAGGTGGCCTTCTGCACAGGGTTCAGACGTTCCTGGTGTATCTGCAGGCCGGGTTGAGGGACAGGGCCTGGGGCTGCTGGTTCCCCCCTCAAAAGACTTTCTGTGCACGAGGTTTTTTAACACAGTAGTTTTCCCAGAAGATTCTGGTAATAAATTTCCAGTAACTGCAAGTACCTGGTGGTCAGTGGGCCTAGGATCCTGGAGGAGAGGCCTTGAGAGTCTCCCTGGCTCCTGCCTGGGTGTCAGGAACAGAATTTTCTAGCACTGTTCCGCTCTTGTAAGACAGACAGATTAGTGTCTGGCTTTTTTTCTTTTAAAGTTCAGCTCCCTCAAAGACCAAAGGTCCAGGCCCATGGTCAAAATGAAAATTCTGACTTAGTTACATCATCAAATCGGCTCTGAGTAGTATCCTTTTGGTTTGGTTTGGTTTTCTGTTCGTCTGGGAGCTTCCCTCCACTTTCTTGCTGTGGCGCATGGAGCCTGCTGCCTTTACCTGGAACAGGCCAGGGGTAGGTTCACCTTAGACCTGGAGGCAGGGGCTGTCCCGGCTGGCCAGGGGCCTCTGAGCTACAGTGTGGAGTGGGTGCTCGGTCAGGTGCAGCTCTCCTCACACAGGCAGGAGTTTTGGAAAAGAGCTGCCCAGCTCCTTCTGAGCATGAGGCGGCCTTGTGCCTTGGCACGGGTGACAGTGTAGGCACTGTAGGGCCGTCCGCTTGACGGGAGGCAGCCTGCTCCTTGTAGGCCTACCATAAAATTAGGAACGGGCCAGCGCTGCAGCCTGGCAGTGGTGGAGCTGCTGGCCCCTTTTGTGAAGCCAGAGCCCCCAGGTGCAGAGGGTGACGTCACTGCCTGGAGCTGGCACCGCAAGGGAGGCCTGTGCTGAGCCTCCCTGTTGCATCCGCTTCTCTTCTGTCCTCACCTTCCGGGACAGGCTAGGTGGGGCAGCGCGCTACAGCAATTCCCGTTCTGCCTTGGGGAGGGCCTGGGAAAATGCCTTCTTTCCAGGAGAAATCTAGGCTCTGAGGCCTAGCCCTGCTGGGGTGTAACCTTGGTGAGGTCATCCGATGCCTTCACTCTGAGGTGGATCTCACCCGACACCTCCCGGGTCTCAGGTTGGCAGTCAGCTGAGCTGGCCTGCACGGAGAGGAAAGCCGCTCGTGTGGCCGTCCGTGCTGTGCGTTGCTCTTGCCATTGCGCCATCTGTGTAGCAGGCTGGGTCCAGGGTCCTGCAGGCAGGACCCACCCGGGAGGAACCCAGGGAGAGGGCAGAAGGAGGAAGGGGAGGCACAGGAAGAGGAAATGGGGTAGTGGTTGTCAGAGAGGCAGAGAGGGGCCCCTCCCTCAATTGCCCAGAGAACCCAGGGTGTGAGCGTGGATGCGGGGGTGGGGGGCTGGCAGTACACACAGGCAGACTGCAGGGGGAAGGGAACCCTTTGCTTCCACCCCCACCTTGTTTCCCGTTCTGCCGGGGACCCAGCTGACCTTAGAGAGTGTTACTGCTTAAGCAGGGGATGTGCGAGCTGCGACCGTTAGCAGAGGGCTCGTCTGTGTCAAGGAGCAGTTGTCAGCAGAGCCCCCGCCCCTGCTCATGGCCACCCCAGGCGTCACAGCCCGGCACAGCCTGCCAGAGGTAGGAGCAAGAGGCTGTCCCAACTGTGCCGGCTTCCCCCAGCCCACACTCTTCCTGCCCTCCCTCCCTCCTTCCTTCCTTCTCTGTTTTTAGTCTAAGAGAAAACCCCTTCCCAGGCGTCTGCAGCTCCCCTGGGGGCCGGTCCTCACCAGCACCTGCAGGCAGACGGCCCCTCCTGTCTTGAGCTGGGGGTCCTTGTGCTGGTGGCCGGGTGGACTTGGCCTCTGGGCTGCCAGCACCTGCCCCATTTACTCAGGCTGGTTTCCACAGGGTGCGTGAAGTGGGTTTGTGTCAGGAGCTCGTGTTCTGGAGTAGGGAGGGGGCCGTGAACACATAATCACTGTGTCTGCTGCTGCTGAAACTCTTTCTGAATATTTGCCCTCTTTCATCGTTTTTTTAAAGTCTGACCTGTTCTACATCGCCC